AGAAGTAAACTGGGAAGTTAGGAAACGAGGTAGATTGTGTAGAAGGAGGTGATTTATTATACATATTTTTACAGCTTTTTTACTTTAGAATCATGTAGGTGTTTTATGTTTTAAATAAACTGTACCATTTAAAAAAGAAAAATTGAATCAGTTTTAAGCACGCCTGTAATTCCAGCAGCTTGAGAGTCTGAGGCAGGAGGATGGAGAGTTCAAAGCCAGCTTCAGCAACAGTGAGGCACTAAGCAACTTGGTGAGACCCTGTCTCCAAATGAAATACAAAATAGGACTGGGGATGTGGCTCAGTGGTCGAGTGCCCCTGAGTTCAATCCCCATATCCCCCCAAAAAAATTAGTATACAAAGTATCCATTCTTTGTAGTATTTTAGATAATGGGGGAAAGAGAACTAGAAATTTTGAGTGTGACTGTTGTCTAGGAGACCATTTTAGTCTGGAGGTACAGCAGGGTGGGGTTGGTACTTCTTCTTTATGAACCAGAACATCCAGTATGGTGAATGAGCTTGTGATGGCCCCTTTCCTGCCTGACTTATGTAATAAACAGTTCATATAGCTTAATAGGAGGGCTGTGGTACCAAAAAGAACACAGGTTGGGCTGGGGATGTGGCTCAAGCRGTAGCGCGCTCGCCTGGCATGCGTGCGGCCCGGGTTCGAYCCTCAGCACCACATACCAACAAAGATGTTGTGTCCGCCGAGAACTAAAAAATAAATATTAAAAATTCTCTCTCTCTCTGTCTGTCTCTCTCTCTCTCTCTCTCTCTCTCTCTCTCTGTCTCCTCTCTCACTCTCAAAAAAAAAAAAAAAAATACAAAAAGAACACAGGTTTTTTTTTTTTTTGGGTACCGGGGATTGAACTCAGGGCACTCGACCACTGAGCCACATCCCCAGCCCTATTTTGTATTTTATTTAGAGATTGGGTCTCACTGAGTTGCTTAGCACCTCACTTTTGTTGAGGCTGGCTTTGAACATGCAATTCTCCTGCCTCAGCCTCCTGAGCTGCTGGGATTACAGGCATGCGCCACCAAGCCCAGCAGAACACAAGTTTTGAAGCAGGAGATTAGAATTTGATATCTTCCTCAACTGTTTTCTGGTTTTAAGATTTTGGACTAGTTGTTTCTGTAAATAAATGAGATAATGTGAGAGTGCTGTATGAATTACCAATTACTATGTAAAGCTAGCGATTATTACTTGTATTAATCAACCCATCAAGTTGGTCAGAATCATCTTGCTGAATATTAATCACAGAGGTCACAGTTCATCCAGATGGCGCAGTCACTTCCTTTTCTGGGAGAATAAAAGTCTGAATTTTCTCAACTCTGCTGTTCCTCACCTATTGTCACACTGTGTCCCTGCCCTCCAGACCTCACCTTCCTCTTAATCATTTCCATGCTGCTGGACTTTGGTCATGTAGTAACTTGGGTTCAGCAAAAATTATCTTTCTTGGCAGGTTTCTGTTTTTAATGCTTTGCAGTAGATTCCTTTCCATTCCCCATAGGATCTGGGTTCTCATAAACACTTTCTCTGTGCCACCTACAACTTACTTCCTGATCTCCAGACTGAAGAAGAGGGTGCAGAGATGCCTTTGTGAGGCCGACTGTTTTCCTCTTCTCCCCCCCTACCCATTTCCATTAGTTATTATTCCCCTGTCTCACTATTCAGTCTCTTCTCTTGGGACCTCTATACTTTGACCTGACTGGTATGCTCAAGTTTCTAACTTCTCTAACATAACTTTTTCGAGTTTGGGTTCCTCTCTCATCCAACTTTTTTTTTTTTTTTTTTGCTTAATTTCCATTAGTTCCCCAATCCATTATGATTTATCGTCTAATTTCCCTCTTCACTGTTTCACTTGGTGAACTTCGCATTGTCAAATTCAGTGAGCTTTTGGCTCTCCTCCTCCCTGACTGTTGAAACTGCACTCCTCTCTCCCTTCTGTGTTGTGTGAACTCTTCAGGGTGTCTTTCCCTCTCCTGTTCTCTAATGCTTTTTTTCTCATCTCCTGATGCTTATGCCTGGGTTTATTCACACTTCTTGATCAGCTTCTCACTGCATTTTTCCTTCCACAGCTATTTATATTATATTAATGAATAACGTGTCCATACCATCTTGTGTTTTCTGTCTGTACTCTTCCCTGCAATTTTGTTGATTCCCATAACTTTAGAGTAATGACTGCCCACCTCTTCTCTAAGCTTGACTTTTCTATTGCTAACTGCCTTTGGACTTTCCTACCTGGTTGCAGGTACTTAAGATTCAATTATATTTCTAAAATATTTCTCTTCTCTCCAGCTTGCTTATCTTTTTGTGTACTCTGTCTATATCAGTGCCATCATCATCAACTTGATCCCTGATAGTTGACGTATAATTTGCAACAAGGCCTATCTATTCAACTTCTGAAATATTTTTCTCATGCATCTAGTTTTCATTGCCAGTCAGATTTCTTAAAAATGAAACATAATCTGATTGTATCACTTCCTTGACTTTAGCAATCTTTATTACTTTTTTAATTGCTTCACGATAAGGTCTAAAGTCCTTGGCATGGCAAACAAAGTTCTCAACCATCTGTTCCTTAAACTAACTTACAGAGTTTTGAATATTGAAATAAGAGCTAAGTACAGAGTGTTAGCTCTTATTTCAGTATTGCTACAGCAAAGTATCTGGAATATAGTAGAATTTTGAAAATTACTTGTGGAATAGTTATATCAGAAATGAAATAAAAAGAACCCCCAGCCCTCACCGTGTCTGCAGAGCTTATGTTGTTTTGGGACTGGCAAGTTAGGAGGTGGTTGAGAACTTGACTTCTGGAGGTAGGGTGGCCTGTGTTCAGAACCTCTGACACACAGTAGCTGTGACTATTTCCTCATTTGTGAAGAAGTGATGACCAGGTGAATGTGAGAATTAAAGGTAATGTACATATCACAACCTCTGATACATTAGAATTATTTTTCTTTAATATTTCTTTTTAGTTGTACAATTGTGTACAACTTTTTATTTATTTTTATGTGGTGCCGAGGATTGAACCCAGGGCCTCGCATGTGCTAGGTGAGCGCTCTACTGCTGAGCCACAACCCCAGCAGGAATTATTTTAAGCCATTAGTAAATGGAGAATGTGTTTTTAATGAATAATATTAATGTTCTACAGCAATAGTTAGACTCTGTAGTCAAAAATGAGGTATAAACCAGGTGCAGCAGTACATGCCTGTAATCCCAGGGACTCGGAAGCTGAGGCAGGAGGATTGCAAATTTGAGGCCAGTCTTAGCATGGATTTTAGTGTTATTAATGAGACTCTGCCTCAAAATAGAAAATACAAAGGATTTGTCAGGGAGTTGCTCAATGGTATGGTACCCCTAAGTTCAATCCCCAGAGTAACAGGGACCAACAGTCTACCTTCTGTTCACTTACCCATCAGAAGGAGGGGTACCTGGGTTTTGTTTTGTTTTGTTTTTCCTTTTCTGTCACCTATTATTTTTTAAAAAAATATTTATTTTTTAGTTGTAGTTGGACACAACACCTTTATTTCACTTGTTTATTTTTGTATGCGGTGCTGAGGATCGAACCCAGGGTCTCGCACGTGCAAGGCGAGCGCTCTACCGCTGAGCCACAACCCCAGCCCACCTATTATTTTAAAAAAACATTTAATACTTATTTTTTAGCTGTAGTTAGACACAGTACCTTTATTTTATTTATTTGTTTTTATGTGGTGCTGAGGATCGAACCCGGGGCCTCACGTGCGCTAGACAAGCGCTCTACCGCTGAGCCACAGCCCCAGCCCCTACATATATTATTGTTGCCTTTGTTATTTGTTCAACCCTTTACAAAAAACAAGTTTTAAGATAGGAACCTTGATAGCAAAAGAAAAATTCAACTTAAAGAATAAGAAAAGATAAGCCCAGGAGCCTAGGAAGTAGCTCAGTGCTAGGAAGTACCTAGCACGTTGGAGGGCCTGTGTTTGGTCCCCCAGCACTGTAAAAAAGAAAAGAAAGTGAAGGGGTGGGGAGAGGGCGTGAGGAAGAAAGAGAGAAAGAATGAAAGAAGGAAAATAAATTAAGGGCTGGAGATGTGGCTCAAGCGGTAGCGCGCTCGCCTGGCATGCGTTCGACCTGGGTTCGATCCTCAGCACCACATACCAACAAAGATGTTGTGTCCGCCGAGAACTAAAAAATAAATATTAAAAATTCTCTCTCTCCTCTCTCACTCTCTCTTTAAAAAAAAAAAAAAAAGAAAATAAATTAAAGACCAGGATAAATATAAAAGTAACAAAATTGTATCTGGCTTAAGAGTTTGAGGAAAGTAGAATCTCAGAAAGTTTCTAATTTCATTCATCAGTCATTCATTAAGTATTTATTTATTGTTCCCTTATATAGGGTATAGTCAGGATGTGGAAAAAAAGACATGGACCATCAGAATTAAGGCCTAGTTGCTCTCTAGGGGAATTTTTTCAAGTTTTGATATATTAAAAATTTAAATGTGTTTGTGAAGATAATTGTAACTTTATATGCTATAGAAGAGCATATAGAACTAATGCAGAGAGATTCCTTGAGCAGCATGGATTTTAGTGTTGTTAATAATGGAGGTTAGATAGTTCCTTGTGTAACTGATGTGAACCTTCAGGTAAAGACACTTCTTGAATGTGAAAAGGTGAGCCTACTTTGCTTGCAACTGCTGCAGATAAAGGTTTGATAGTGGTGTCAGTTTGTAAGACAAACCTTAAAGTTCAGTTCAGTTGGCTTAGGCTGAGAATGGGAGGAGAGAGTGGGGTGAGCCAAGACAATGGTAAACCATCTAGACTTTTGAACTGGGTTCAATCCTCAGCACTGCATACAAAAATAACTTTTGAACTGCACACTGCCTGCAAGTTGGCTCTTTCTTGTCTCAAGTTTTTAGAACTCAATTAATGACTGTCCTGATTGTTACATATTTTGTTTTTGGTATAGAACCCCTTATTCTGCTGAGGGTCTGATTTATTAACAATGTTTTTCTTGTGCTTTTAGAATGATAATCGAGAACGGCAGGATCATGGTGATCGACGAAGACCTGGGAACCCTGAGCCAGTATCTAATGGCCGACCGCAGGGTAACTCACGGCAGGTGGTGGAGCAAGATGAGGAAGAGGATGAGGAGCTGACACTGAAATACGGCGCCAAACATGTCATCATGCTGTTTGTCCCTGTGACTCTCTGCATGGTGGTGGTGGTGGCTACCATCAAATCTGTCAGCTTTTATACTCGGAAAGATGGACAGCTGTATGTATGAGTGTTTTGTTTCATTGTTCTTAAGGCCATGTGGCTTTTCTTCACAGTGTGTCATCATCACCTTGAGGGCCTCTGCACCGAAGGAGCATGAAGGAGTCCATTTCTCTGATGGCCAGAGGCAATAGAGAGAATTAGGGGGTTATTACTTGGTGCCTTAAGTGGGAAAATGAATGCTGCAATCGTTTCATGGATGGTGTCTTTGGATAGGGCTGAATTTATTTGGAATTGAACAAATTAAGCATGATTTTCCTTCCTCAGGGCCATAGGGCCATTGTTCTTATGTTTGGAATGTTCTTTTCTTTTCTAATTTTGGTGGATAAATTTCTTCTCATTTTGGCTTAAATGTTAAATCATCAAAAGTAACTTCCCTCATCTCCTAATACCTCCTTCCTAATATTCTTTCTCACAGCAGCCTATTCTTTCTTATTTGTCACAATTTGCAAAAATATATTTATTTTCATTATTTAATGTGTGATTTCCTTTATAGTAAGGTCCATGAGAGCACTTTTGTCTCCAGAAATAAATACTCAGGAAAAAAAAAAGTTGTTAATTGTAAGGATGAATATCTAATATAAGCTAGCACTCTCTAGAGTTGGGGAACTGTCATGTAGATTCCACAGTGATGTTGGTGTTGCCCTTGGCCACCAAGAAAAATGCTCCAATTTAGATGTCATCTAGTCCTGTCTCTCAGAACTTGAGTTTTAAGAAGAGTTTTAGAATGTGAATTTGGGAAATGTCTGAAAAACCACATGGTGTCTTGAAAGCCGTGCTATTAGCATTCTGGTAGTATGGCTGAGACATGAGTGAAGGGCAGGGGTCAGAGGAAGTAACCTAAGGGATTGGGGAATAGTATCTGTATAAATCAAGACTAGGTTTGGCTACATAATACGGGACAAGGGTTGGCAAGCCCCAGCCAGTAGGTCAGCTCTGCCTGCCTCCTATTTTTGTGAATAAATTTTCACTGGAAAAAGACCATGCCCATTTATTTATTTGTGTCTATGGCTACTTTCACACCTCAGTAGCAAGAGATCATGTGACCAATAAAACTAAAAATATTTACTATCTGGCCCTTTATAGAAAGTTTGCTGACCCTGTTAGAGACAAAACTGGTTTAAATGGTACTTTTTTCTCCTACCCATAGAGCAGCACAGAGGTAGGCTGTCCAGATTGGTATAGTAGCTGTATGTTCATCAAGTTCTCAGTCCTCCCTCCCTTCCTTCCTTCCTCTCAAAGGTTACTTCAGACTCCAGAATGGAGCCCGTCCCTTCATCTAGAAAGCAGAAAGTAGTGGGGAAGAAAAAGGCAGAGGACTTCTCCCTCTGAGCAGAATGTACTCTTCCTCAGAAGCTCTTTACACAACATCTACTAAAATTCATTGGCCATTCCTTAGTGTCATGGTCATATCTAACTACAAGGGAATCAGAAATAAAGTCTTTTAGCGGGATACATTGGCACCTGGAAGTATTTTTATATGAGTGAGATAAGGGAAGGTAGATATGTGACATTGTCTCAAAACAACTCTAGTTCTCATCACTCTACAGATGAAAGACAATAATTATGCACCATATTGTCTTCCTCTGCCAACCATTTGTCAACCTAGGTAATTAATGTTGCAGAATCTGATTATGTAACAGATTAATAAACAGTGGAGAATACATTTGATAAGGCAATTATTTCAGTACAAAGCATCCACTAGGTGGAGCCAATGCCTGGCTCACATAAGTTCATCTCTCCATATCTTAAGATATTTCATTTTATTTTGAAGCAACTATTAGAGTATAGCTATTTTCTTAGGTTAAAAATTCTGAGCTAGACTAGTGAAATTGGCAAAAAATGACTTACAAGACATTAATCAAAAGGAAAACAAAATTATGGTGTTGGAGGGAATATGTGGTTTGGGATATCCAATAACACTTAACCAGGGCTTTTGTGTTTTGTTTTATTATAGAATCTATACTCCATTCACAGAAGACACCGAGACTGTGGGACAGAGAGCCCTGCACTCAATTCTGAATGCTGCCATCATGATCAGTGTCATTGTCGTCATGACTATCCTCTTGGTGGTTCTGTATAAATACAGGTGCTATAAGGTGAGCTGTGATAATGCTTGCTTTCTGCCTTGTTCTGTGATGAGTGCATCTTCTTGTCACATATCTTTCTTGGTTTAGTAAAGAAAAAGGTCTTATCTTTTAGACCTAAGTTAGTTTTTATTTACCTTCCCCTCATTGTGGAACATTTTAAAAATAAAAAAAGGAATAAATGTGAAACAAATATTTTCATGTAATATCACAGTCTAAGTGGTTTTGACATTTCAGTTCATGGTACATTTATGGTATTCTGCAGGCATATACTTTAAAACCTTTGTGTATCAGCTCAATTCACAAATAGCAAAAGGGGCCAGGCCTAGTAGTGCATGCCTGTAATCCCAGAAGTTGAGGCAGGAGGATCGCAAGTTCAAAGCCAGCCTCAGCAAAAAGTGAGGCACTAAACAACTCGGTGAGTGAGACCCTTTCTCTAAATAGGGCTAGGGATATGGCTCAGTGGTCCAGTGTCCCTGAGTTCAATCTCCGGTAATGCCAACCCCGCAACCAAAAAAATAGCATAAGGTAATTGTCCCCATAAAATTAGTTATAACCAAAATAATTCAGATTCTCACATTTGAGTATAGAATAAGGTCACCTTCAGATGCTAGTGTTAGACTCCTTGATGACTATTCATACCTTGGTTCTAAATTGCTTTCCATTCACGTACCGTCCTTCCTGTGGTGGCACTCTTTCTTTCCTTGCAAAGTGAGGTCAAGGGGTTGTACAGGAAAGACACAGTTACAACCCTCAGCCTTTCCTCCCCTTGTTCTCTCACTAAGTGACTCCTAAATCTCAGCCCTTTGGCACATGTTTCAGACTCAAGTCTCAGAAAATTTACAGTTTACTAGACATAGAGCTTTAAGGTCATTCTCAAATAATAGAAATTATAAATGTTAACTTTCCAAATAATAGAGTCTACTCATTTCCTTCTAGTATTTTCCTGTATATATTTTTAACATGTTTAAAGTAGATAGTCAGTGTGTGTCCTTTCTTAACTTTTACTTTGATATAAGCATTTTCCCATATTATAAATTCTTAGAAAATATTTCTATGGCTGCATAATTATTGACTCAATGAATATATTGTAATTTATGTTTTCTAGTTTCTCTGATATTGGATATTTTGAGTTGTTTTCAGTTATTCACTATTTTAAGAAATGATATCTTTATGCATAGAATTTTAAAAATTATTTCCTTAGAGTACAGGCCTAAACATGGAATTTTGGGGGCAAATTAACTGTGTTTTAACTCTCAGTATGCTAACTTTATCCAAAAGGTTGTATCAATTTGTACTTTCCCCCACGTTCATCAGCATTGATTTTTTTTAAATATTTATTTTTTAGTTTTTACGTGAACACAATATCTTTATTTTATTTTTATGTGGTATTGAAGATCGAACCCAGCATCCCGCACATGCCAGGCAAGCGCGCTACTGCCTGAGCCACATCCCTAGCCTGAATTTTTTTAAAACTATGTTAATTTTTATAGGCATGCATATGTATTTCTAAAATTTATTTCATTTATTATTTGTTTTTTGATCCTGGAGATTGAATCTGAGACCTTGCTAGGCAAGCACTCTACCACTCAGCTATATTCTTAATCCGTAAAACAAAAGTCTTCATTTAGTTAAGATCAAACATCCTTTCAAAGCTCACAAGCTCTAAAGTAATATAGAATTTAACCTTACTTGTTCAACTTCTGATTGGGCAGATATGTTAGCCTAAAGTGGTGAGTATTTGTGGTCTGACATTATCACATGGTGACCATTGAAGATGGAGGTATGTATGATAATGGATTGTTGTCAATTCTCAGTAAGCCAGAGCAAGTGATTGGAACTCTCCTTCTGCTTTAAATATGCTCTTTCTTACTTTTCTTTATGTGTTTTATCAACATGGAAGTGCTTACTGCTGGTTCTATTTCTCTGCTTTATTAGAATTGCTTAGTGATTTTTTTTTTTTTTTAAATCATATGGTACTTTTGTTCTTCTGTTTCTTTTTTGGATTTTATAAGGGGATGGAATTCTACCTTTTTTGTAATCTAGAAATTACTTCCAGATTTTTTATCTTTTTCAAAATTCCTGTGTAATTGAATAGATGGGGCTCTGGACTCAGTATTGCATTTCCTGAGTTCTTTTTCCTGGTGATCTTAGGAAACTGTTAAATTTCTGTGTGTTTCATACTTTCACATATAAAAGAGAAAGCAACATCTTTTTTAAAAACATTTTTTTAGTTATACATGGACACAATATCTTTATTTATTTTTATGTGGTGCTGAGGATTGAACGCAGGGTCTCACATGTGCAAGGCAAGCGATCTACCCCTGAGCCACAACCCCAGCTCTAAGAAAGCAGCATCTTTAAACGACCCCTCCTCTCTAATTTTAAACATGAATGGATTTTCCCAGCCTCAGGCAATGGTGTGTGGAGGACAATATAGCAAGCTATGCAAACTATATCTGCCTGGTTTCATTTCATCCTCACACCAGCTCAATGGAATAGGCCCTACTATTATCCCAGTTTTTCATATGAGGAGTGTTGGGGGGGCTCACGAGGCTAGTGTGGGTTGGAAGCTAGGTCACTATGGGGCTTTGAGCCCAGAGTTTGGCCTGGATTGATGCAGAGCCAATACCTAAGACTCCTGTCAAATCCAACTCTCTTTTGGATTTATGCCTCTGTGGAAACTGCTTGTCTTGTGGTTGCCAGTATTTTGAACTTAATTTCTCTGGACCTTATTGCCATTGGCTTATTAGTCACCCTCTTCTGCTTAACATTCTTTTTGATGTTCACTTATCTCCCTACCCTGGTCTTTGCAGTTTCTCCTAAGGCTCACCAGTTTTGAATCTCAGACATTGAACTGTTTTTCTCTCTCATGGAAAATTACGTTCAATTTCATGGTTTAAGTTTACATCCTCAAATACAACTTTTTATTTTTATTTATTTATTTAGAATTTTAATATTTATTTTTTAGTTTTCGGCAGACACAACATCTTTGTTTGTTTGTGGTGCTGAGGATCGAACCCAGGCCGCATGCATGCCAGGCGAGCGCACTACTTATTGAGCCACATCCCCAGCCCATTCAAATACAACTTTAAAAAAAAAAAATTTTTTTTATTGTTGATGAATCTTTACCTTATTTGTTTATTTATACACGGTGCTGAGAATTGAATCCAATGCCTCACACATGCTAGGCAAATGCTCTATTACTGAGCCACAACCCCAGCCCTCAAATACAACTTTTAGTTAAATATTTTTAGCTTAGAAGTCTGCTTATTGGGCTGGGGATGTGGCTCAAGCGGTAGCATGCTTGCCTGGTATGTGCTCGGCGCTGGGTTCGATCCTCAGCACCACATACAAATAAAGATGTTGTGTCCACCGAAAACTAAAAAATAAATATTAAAAAATTCTCTCTCTCTCTCAAAAAAAAAGAAGAGGAAATCTGTTTATTAGGCCCATGGTTAGAAGGTATTTCCTTTGGCATCAATTCTATTCAGATATCTAATGGCACATAAGTTTAATTATCTTTCATGCCATTTTATCACCAGTGGGTATACTTTGCTAGGACTGTCTAGTTTTTAATTTGTAATCATTGTAATCACTACCATCTGTTATCTTCATGACTAGTTAGTAGCCTGATTTCTCAGCTGACCTTCTAAACTTTACTCTCTATTTTTCAAATACTACAAAAGCAAAAAAACCTCCTGTTTTACTTTTAATAGTTAATAAAAGCAAGGCATGTTCATAGTTTAAAAACATTCAGACTAAGTTTAACTATACATACCCCAGTTATCACCACCAACCAGTCCTATTCCAAGATGTAACCACTGTTAATAGTTTGATGCATATCTTTTCTTTTACTTTTTTTTTTTAACTTACTTTGCTAATTACATATGAATATGTACTTTGTTGTTGTTGTTACTGGGAAGTTGAACCCAGAGTCACTTCACCAGTGAGCCACATATCCAACCCCCACTCCCTTTTAAATTATTTTATTTTGAGACAGGGTCTCACTAAGTTGCTTGGGGCCGAGATAAGTTACTGAAGCTGGCCTTGAACTTGGGATCCTGCTACCTCCTCTGTCTCCTGGGTTGCTGGGATTAGAGGCATGCTGGCAGAATATGTGCTTTTTTAAGAATAGAAATTGGGCTAGGCATATAGCTCAGTTGGTAGAGTGCTTGACTTGCATGCACAAAGTCCTGGGTTCAGTCCCCAGCGCCACAAAAACAAAAGAAAACTAGAATAGAAATTGACAATGCACCAATAAAAAATATGGGTAGAGGTGAAACATAGGAATAGAAATTGAGACATATTAAATCCACTGTTTTATAATAGTAGACAATTACCCTTCCTCCCATCTCCTTTCTTTCTCACTTAATAGTATATTTTGGACTTCTTTCCATTTCATTTGATAATAGTGAATTAAATTGATTTTTGAAGATTGACCCACCTAGCATTCTTAGGATAAATGTTAGTTGATATGGTGTATTCTCTTTATCACTGGATTCAATTTGCTATTATTTTGATGAAGATTTTGCAACTGTGCTTGTTGGGGATGTTGGTTCATATTTTTCTTGCACTGTCTTTGAATGAGTTTGGTATCAGGATAATGCTAGTCCTATAAAATGGTTTGGGAAGTGTGTGTTCCCTCCTAATCTGTTTTCTAGAGATATTGATGCTGTCTCTTCTGTAAATATTGGGTGAAAGTTGTCAGTGCTTGGAGTAAGTCTGATTTCGTTAGTTATAGGACTATTCAGTTAATCTGTTTTATCTTCCTAGTCTACTTAATATATTACTACTTCAAGTGACAAAAAAAACCTTACTGTTTTATACATTCCTTTACCCTTCACCATTAAAAAATTTGTCAGTGTTATAATTTTTACTAACTACCAAACATTTATTTATTTATTGAACCCAGGGGTGCTTTATCACTGAGCTACATCCCCAGCCCTCTTTTTATTTTTTGCTTTGAGATGGTCTCGCTAAGTTGCCCAGATTGACCTCAAACTTTGATC